GGTATGGAATTTGTAAAAGACCTTTTATTTCTTTCGGGATACAAAGTCAGAGGGGTTAAAGTCATTAAACATTTGCCGTGTTGTGGGAATACAGGCATACAAAAAGCTCCTCCTTTTCCTAAACGAATTAATGCTGCACTCTGGACAGGTGAGTTCATCTTCAGGTTCTCTTTGTCTGCTTGCCCCGACCTCACTGCAGAAGATTTAAATCTGCCTGAAACACGTTCACACCTAGCAATGTGTTTACGTATTCTTTTCAGTGCAACGTACGTGAGAAAAGATGCTTAAGGAAATTCAAACTGCAAGTTGTGAGTGGGTTGAAAAATGTTCTGTCCGGTGTCTGTTTACAGTCAGGACTGCTAATTAAGGAAGCCCTACTGTAATTTATTACAGTACAATCTGCTATGGAGGGACACCTCCCTCGCTGTCCTTGCCTCTGTCAGCAAAAGGAGGGACAACATACATGGCATGAAACAATCACAACATTTATGCATTGAAGCGGAAAAGTCTTTTTAAATGCACACATTTGAAATGCAATAAAGCAAGTTCCAAAGCTAAGAACATAGTGTAATAATTTATTTGGAATGTGTATTAAATTTGAACCTATTCTGACACAAGGGCAGGAGAGAGCTGTGTGTGTGTTTGTGTGTGAATCACAGGCCCAATTTTGAGATGTTAGAAACTCTTTGAAAGCTGCCATGTCCAGCCCAAATCATCTTTCCTAGTTTGTTGCCTTTTATCTAAGTCTGCATTTCAAATTCAATCCTTTCCCCACACCGCTCAGCTGAATTTGGAAAGCTGATCATGGGTTTTTCCTGATTCATGGCTGGCTGGGGAATTCTAGGAGTTGAAGTTCACCCAACTTCAAGTTGCCAAGATTGAGAAACACTGCTCTACATGTCTTCTCAAAAATAATCTCAAGAAAAGTTTAGTGGATATTGAATCACAATCTTATTATCGATGGCTTCTCTTTGAAGAAGAAGAAGAAATGGTTCAGAGATCTATAACCAATATGTTTTGGAGAGAATACCTGTTTTTAGAATCAGGAGTTTTAACATAACAAATGTCAACTTGAATAAGGGCAATTCCATACCACACCATATTTTTCCTCCCACATCCATGCAAATATTTTGACACCGACTTGCAAACTTTGTAACATCTGTCCATTATAAAATCAGATTTCAGGCAGAAAATAGGAAGCAAGGAAGGAAAGAAGGAGAGAAAAAGAGAGAAAGAGAGAGAGAAAGAAAAATGAAGGAAGGAAGGAAGGAGGGAGAGAGGGAGGAGAAGAGAGAGAAACAAAGATCGCAAATTCAACCAGTGCCCAATTCTAAGATGATGCACTTCCTGGAGCAATGAAAACTGTTATCTCTCCCAATGCCTCCTCTCCCACCACCATCCACCTTGAAAAAGTGTGTTCAAAAAGTAAAGATCAGTTGTAAAGACCCTTGCTACTTATTATGCTGAAAGGATAGCATGTTGAAAGTTTTGCAATCAATCATCCCCATCCACCTCACTAATAACTGTAGTCATGATTGCATACTGTTGGAGAAGAAGAGAAAATAAATCTAGCCTGCAGGGCAGACATGAGAAGTTGTTGGGGGGGGGGGGCTGAGGAGTGAGAGAGGCTGAAAGGAAAAGTTATAGAGCAATTAAAAACTAGCCTACATCTGACAAAAGGGGAAAAAAAGAAAAAGAAATTGGAAATAACCATACTCTATTTAGAAGTCAGTCGGTGGGGAGCAGCCTGAAATTTTGCAACCCTACTTATCTCTTAGAGTAAAAAGGAAGACAACAGGACTTTCCCGAGCTTCTGTTCCTGGTGGAAAACTTCTAAGGATTTTAACATTCGCAACAATTTCAACCAATTTCAGCTGCATCTTAAAAGTAGATCAGCAGCTAACTTGGGACATTTGGGAAAAAGAAATCTGGCTGGTTTCTATGAGATGGATCTATACAACCGGCAAGCCACCATTCCCCTTTAAGGACCATGAACATTCAGACTGTAAACATCAGCTGAAGGTGGAATGAGACCCTCGTTCTCCCAATAAGAAAACAAGCCATCCACAAGCTCTGTTAGGGCTTCAGTCTCACAAAAGGAAAGGCTGATTTTTTTGTTCATTTATTCACTGATTGGATATTTAGGATGCAGCTCAGTTGCTGACTGCAGACAACAGCATGAGAATATAAGATCTGAGTTGATTTGGGAGCAGGGTAAGGACCCTGTTTTAGGAGTGCTTTAATGAGAGATTTAAGTTTCTCCTTCTAATACCCCAAAAAACTCATTTCAGTTTCAAAATATTCTGAAGGCTTATGATCCAAAGCATTTCCTGCTGCAGAAAAATTTCCTTTTGCAAGGCAAAGATAGGAAAACCCCAGGAAAAGGATCCCATGTGCAGACAAATGTTTTTTTTTAAATGTAAATGGCCATCTTGCTAGCCTATGAAATAAAATTCCCCAAACTCCAAGCCTGTTTAAAGAGGCTGTAACTAGTTGGTGATGACGGCTGTTATAATTCAGCATATTTGATCCAAGGTTTCCAAAATCTGAGAGAAACAAGATCTAAAAGTTGGATAAATGCAGGTGTCTTCTAGGCATAGCTGCAGTGCATCCTAAGAAGCAGAAGACGTCATGGTGGAAACTGTTCAGAGCAGTTTTTCTCAACCTTAGCATCTCTTAGGATGTGTGGATTCAGGATGCTGGCTGAGGAATTCTGGGAGTTGAAGTCCACACATCCTAGAATTGCCCCGGTTGAGAAACACTGTCAGAAAAAGGTACTTATGAAATGTGATTGTGGTTTGTATATAAGGATGCACAGTGAAGAGAGGATGAACAGGAAGGATTTTTCTCCTTATTGATAACACTATAGAACCAGAGGTTACTTGAGGACACTTACTAGCCAAAGAGTTAACATTGATCAGAGGACTACCGATGTTATAAACCTTGGGAATATGCTGCGATCTTTAGCCACTCGTTTGGAAGGTTTCCAAAGGGTGCTAGACTCATTCTTAAATCAATGGTCTTGATGCTGCTTTCAGACATGGACCCAGGGGTGGGCTGCTATGGGTTCAGGAGAATCTACAGCTAAGAATCTGCCCAGTTCAGAGAACCCACAAATCCCACCCATGGCTGGCCCTGCCCACCCCTCCCCTCCCAGGAGTCCCCACACGGCCTGTTTGGGATGCCAGGTAAGTACAGGGGCCATGTGGAGGCTTGCGGAGGGCGAAAAATGGGCCTCCTGGAAGTTCCTGGGGGAGGCCGTTTTTGCCCTTCCAGAGGCTCGAGGAAAGCCCCCCAGAGTCCAGGGAGGGCAAAAATGCCCCCTCCTGTCATGGTGCAGGAAGCTTACTGGGCCATGCCCACCATGGCCACGCCCACCATGGCCACGCCCCCCTAGGAATCAGGCAGAGAACCCCTTACTAAAATTTTTGAAGCCCACCCCTGCATGAGACAATCTGTTTTCACATGCTACATAGCCAGGAGCAGTAGTGGGAGAGAAGGCCTACCTCGGCTTCTTATCCATGGGTTTCCTAGATGCATCTAGTGGATCAAGTGAGACTTGAATGCTGGCTAGATCAGCTAAATAGCAATAGCAATAGCAATAGCAGTTAGACTTATAGAGCCGAGGTGGCGCAGTGGTTAAATGCAGCACTGCAGGCTACTTCAGCTGACTGCAGTTCAGCAGTTCGGCTGTTCAAATCCCACCGGCTCAAGGTTGACTCAGCCTTCCATCCTTCCGAAGTGGGTGAAATGAGGACTCAGACTGTGGGGGCAATATGCTGACTCTGTAAACCGCTTAGAGAGGGCTGAAAGCCATATGAAGCGGTATATAAGTCTAACTGCTATTGCTATTGCTATTATATACCGCTTCATAGGGCCAGCGAAATATTTTCATATTTTCATAACCAAATTGGGGGGGGGGGGTTGAACCCAGGAATCAGAGGGAGAAAGTCTCCCCCCCCCCAATACTGCTACTTTAAGGAAAGCAACCTTTGCTAAAATTGGAGTGGTACAAAGGATTTCAGATACCGGGACAGAGAATCGTTTTCAGATACTTCATCCTGCTCTTGCCTTTGAGAAGAAGATTCACCAGAGGTCCAAAACTGAGGAACAATTTTGATCAGAAATGAAAAAGTTCTTCCAGCCTGATCAACAGTTGTTGCTTCAATCATATACCCTAAGGCAGGGATGTCAAACTCAAGACTCGCGTGCTGGATCTGGCCCATGGGGCCGCCCTGGAAACAGCAAAGGACTTGCTCCAGAGAGCAACGGAGCTCCAGAGAACTACATGGCCTTCCCAAGCACCGTTTTCATCTGCAGAGGGTTGCAGGAGGCCATCGCAGCCGGAAACGGAGCTCAGGAGCCCGTTTTCGCTGGCAGAGCACTCAGGCCGCCACAGGAGCCCCCGGCACAAGTGATGTCAAGCTGGCTACACCCATCATGGCCACGCCCCCTGTCCCCCAACCCCACCCGAAGTCAAACACAACCCAAATGTGGCCATCAATGAAATCGAGTTTGACACCCCTGCCCTAAAATATTTGGGTGGCTCCCCAAATCTATCATGGGAAGATTGTTAGAGTGTTTAACTTCGATCAGTCTTAAAGATATACTTCCACCACTAATACAACTGATCCCTTAGCACGTACCTCACTAATGGTATCCTATCCCTTGTTTGAAATAAGGACCATTCTGTTCAATGAGACTTATTCTTAATTGTTGCTCCCGAGCTGCATTTGAAGTCTAGTTACAAGGACAGTGATGGGCAGTTAATTACTCTCCAAAATATTATAGAACACTAACTCCCATCATTTCTGACCACCGGCTGTAGCAACTGTGGCTGATGGGTATAATCTAACTATGTGTTATAGGTTTCCTCGTGCTTGGATCTAATGTGTAACTTTCACTGAGTTCAGCTGAACGGATCCTGGACAAAACAGCCAAATGTTATTAGATTCCATCTTTTTACTCCTACACCCCCAGCTTCTAACGAAAGCAATTTTTTTTTTAAAATAAAGGTGCTTTTTCAATAAATAGAAACATGCTTTTGCCTGAAATGTTAGGTATTAATCTTGTTAGGAGATCGGAATTAGCTTGCCAGTTGAGAATTACAGTTTTTTCTTCACAAACACCAATTGGAACGCCATCTCATTAACTCAGTGATGGGGGTTCCTTTCCCAGCTGGGTTTCATATAATTCCCAACTTTCACAACTTTTTAAAACAATGATTCAGCTGTTGCTTAATCAGCAAAATACAGTATCTTTTTCTATACAGTACAAAAACACAGGATATGTTGTGTGTTGGAACACAAGGGGATTAGGAGGAGCCTTGATTTAAAAACCAAACCAAAGGTGGAATTTGATTCTGTAAACATTATTCCAATGCAACAATAGAGCTGGAAACTTTCCAAGCAGTAAAAACTTTTCCTGAGATTATTTTTAAAAACACGAAAAGCTTCAGATGCTTGAAATCCTAGTTGTTTTGCCCCTTTTTGCTGACAGTTGTTGCTAACCCTCCCATGTGCCGAAAGGAATGGAGAAATTAAAAGAAATAATGCTTGCTAGATTCTTTTCATCTTCTGGCTGTAACAGTCTCTATTTCTCCAAAATATCACTATAATTTTAAAAGGGCTCACCAAAATGTCACCAGTTTTGAATGCCCCTGAAGCTTTTCTTACAGACTTAAAAGCTTTGGAGAACCTAACATAGTCATTGCCTGTAACATGAAATATGTTAACCAAATTATTTCCTCATTCTAGTTTTTGGAGAACGTGCCAAGGGAGCTTTTTAACTTTTCCATTACTCCTTATCCCAAGCGGACATCTAATCAATCGTGGTCATAACATCATGGAGTTAGAAGAGGCCGTTTTAAACCACCCAGTTCAACCTCTTTCTCAGTGCAGGTTTTCAAATTAAATCCTCCCCAAATGATGGTTATCTCGGCCCAGCTTGAACACATTCAAGTGAAGCGAAGTCCCACCACTCTTGCAGGCAAAACTGCTTTATGATTGGAAGGCTTTACTATAAGACCACGAAGATGGACAGTCAAGGTTTTCAATATAACCATGGCAGGTCTTCAGCAAGTAATGAAGGATCCCAGATGTTTCTTCTATAACCTCCCCATGTCGTCAAAATCAATGGGGTTCTTGTTGGATTTAAGACATCAAAGATTCTGTTCTCCGGAGGTTGAACAAGCAGAGGAAAGAGAAGACCTTTTGCCCAACAAATTTACTTATTGGAAAGGGCACCTTTTATCTCAAAAGGCAAAGCTGCGGACAGAATTGAGTGGATGCTACAGAATACAATATCCAGTTGCTCAGCAAAACACACAGCACTTTCATTAGTCATGCTAACAACAACAGGAATGTATCACGGAGGACTGTTACGGGGAAACCCTCGTTGAAACAGAGCATACATTCTAGGAAACAGAAGTTAGTCCTCTACTTAACAGATATACATAATGTAAAATTGGATCTAAGCATATCTGGTAAAAATGGCTTGACCACGAAGGTCATTTTCATGCTAGCAATTCATAGCGTCTTCTAGAGTCACTCAACCATCGCTATGTCAAAAGGACAGTAGCTGGGCAGGCTTTATATTTCTTCAACCATAGCTGGTTGGTGCACTGAAGATGCTAGAATTCACTAGGTGATGTTTTCGGTCATCTCATCACTTTGTTTCTTTTTAACCTGAAATCTATGTTGCTGGAATCGGAACAAGGTGGTAGAATGTTCGCTGTCTTATACATGTAGAAATAAAATGATGTGCCTAAAGCATTCCCTGCTTCCTTTTTTATTTTGTTAAAGACAGAGATGTAGAGTTATCGAGACACATGAGCTAGAATTTGGTCCCCCCGCCCCCCAGCTTGAATCTGGAATGTGAAGTGAACATTGGACAGATAGAAAGCCGACTCTACTGCTTACAATAGAGTAGAGTACTGCCTGGATGAGAAGGATCAAGACTCTTGGGCATTGTGGTGAAAACCAATCGGTTCAACTTCTCATAGAAACGCAACCTCTTTCATGGAACTATGTCAGATAGAGGGATACCTATTAGATCACAGCCGTTCTGGATTTGTCAATTCGATCCTTGCGATTATGAAACTGGAATCATGTTCTAGGTTGATCGTTTGCTAGCAAATTAGACTAGGTATCCAAGATTTAGGAATTTACCACAGTACAAGCAGAAAGAGCTGCCCTCTTATCATTCTGAAACTAACCTGTTGGCTGGCCAAAAGGACAAGTGTTTACTTATGGGGGGATTTGTATGTGTGAGAGAAAAGGGGAACCCTAATATATGTGTTAGTGTGACCTTCAGTGTGTACTCTCCAGGAAATGAAAACCCAGCCCGTATTTTGGAGTGCGAACATCAGGATATCAAAAACAGTGGATACTGTGAAGTCCCCTGAGAGATGATGGATGGCCAGCCCAGGGATGGTGACGGCTCGGGGTTTTCTTTCAACTACTATAGTTCCAGTGGGAAGAAAAGGCCTTGGTGAGAAGAGGCCTCACTTGACTCGGATTTCAGCATATTCAGCCAACTCCTCCGTCAGGGTATAGCTGTCCTTGGTGGACAATTTGGTGAAGTCTATGTTGGCATAATCAATCCCCAGGTCCTCACGCTTGTTCAACAGCCGTTTGTCACAGCGCCCGTACTGGAGGAGGAGGTGAGCAAACAAACAAGATCAGGTTATTGCTCGCACCAACTCACTCTCTGAGTTACATCATTTGGTTTATTCCCGAAGAATCAAAGTAGGCTTCCAGATATTGCTGAGGACACTCTCAGTAGTCCTGGCCATCAGGATCAATGCTAAGGGATGTTAGGAGGTGTAGTTCAGCAACATCTGAGGCGGGGAGACAGGTTGCGTTTCACTGCAAGACCTGAGGTGGTAGAAATAAGGGACAGGATGCTATGTATACAGAACACAAATGTCAAGTGTCCACTTACATGCAAACATTTAACCAAGATCCACTGATAGACGCAACATAAATTTAACCCGGAAGGTTACGATGACAAGACGACACAGAAACTTGACAAGAACTATCTTCTCAGGTTTTTCAGAAATATCTGAGTATTTCAGATATTCAGACACGAGACAAAATATTTGACACCAACATATTGTCACGCAACACATTCAGTAGCTGCTTTTGGAACTGGGTACAGGCGCGGCAACTGTTAATGCAAGACAGGCCACGTCGAAAAGGGTTGTATTTTTTTTCCCCAAGTTGGAAATCTTAGCCAGGATAGATGTTTTCAAATCACAGACATGGAAAATGCATGCAAAAAAAATAAAAAATAAAAATAAAATCCAACTGAAGTGCGCTATTCCCTGCGAGGATCCTATTTGGGCAGCAGATCCATACGACAAGCAAAATAGCTGGGTTAAGCCTTTTTAACATTTCATTTCATTTCATTTTCATTTATTGAATTTCTATGCCGCCCAATCCCGAGGGACTCCGGGTGGCTTACAGAAATGAAAAAAATTAAAAAGAATTTCGAAAAACAATGGGACACAACAAAGTTAAAAAAGGAACTCAGCAACCACCCAGTCGAAAGGGGGCTGGACCTCCATCAAGGGGTCAACAGCCCCAGGCCTGCCGGAAAAGCCAGGTTTTAATGGCTTTGCGAAAGGCCATGAGAGTGGGCAGGGCCCGGATCTCTGGGGGCAACTCATTCCATAGGGCCGGGGCAGCAACAGAGTTGAACAAAGAGCGGCAACAGAGAAGACCCTACTCCAAGGCATCACCAGCCGGCATTGTCCCGCTGAAGGCACCCGGAGAAGGCCCATCCTGTGCGATCTTATTGGTCTAAGGGAGGTA